AATATGATTTCATTTGTGTTTTCATCGCGTACAATAATTCCCATTCGTTTTGTTTCAGGTGTAAATGGAAATAATTGTAATATTTCATAATCAAATAGTTGCTCCGTAGAATTGAGTTTTAATGTCATCGATTTCAACGAACGATGAACAAGAGTTAGACCGATTTGTTCAGTCCAATCAACAATAGCGATTTCATCGGGACTTGATGCTTGATAAGAAATAGCTTGGAAAAGAAAGCGGAAAAATCAAGTTAAGTGATTTTACTTTTATGAATGTAGAAGTCGGAAGTAGTTTGTAGAAATATCTAGATCAGAGTACTTATGAGAAAATGTTTTCTAGTTACGATATATGGAATGAGTTATTCACTCGCGCTGATTTTTACAGCTATATGTTTTCCCACTTTTTTCGTTTTGAAATATATCAGCTTTCGATCAAAATGAGATTTTTCAAGTTAACATTTTTACTTTTAGACATCTAGTTTTTACTTTATGCTCGACAATCTTTAAATTCCTATGCCTGCTTTGTCATGTACTCAATGATAGAGTATGATGTGTCGTTTTTTTTAGAAATTTGCGAATCATTAATGGACCTTATTTTTCTCTTTGGTAATCATTTAGCTAATCAAAACTAGACAACTTTCAATGGAATAAAAGCCTACTTAATTCAATTCACCTATTACTGGTAATAAGTCTAAAACATCTGATCCAGCTGTTGTATTCAATGATGTTACACTTGTCCTAGGTGTATCAGATGTTGAAAGAAATTCGTCCATATTTTCTGCTGAATTATTGAGTACAGGTGTGACATTATGGCATAAGGCTAATGCTTTGATAGCTTCGGTAACATCCTTTGTTTCTGTGTTTTTTCCAATGCTACGTTTCGTTGAGGTTGATGTAACAAGTGATTCTTGGCTTTCATTGGCTACGATTTCAGATTTTTTATACACTTCTTCCAATAAATTTGATATTTTAGTTTTATTTTCAATCGTATACGAAACTGCTCCAACTTTTAGACGTTTAAAAACCATTACATTTTGTGTTAATGTTCCTGTTTTATCGGCTAGAAGATAACCAATACGACCTAATTCTTCCGGAATAGTACTTGAACGTACAACTGAACCAGGAATATCCTTA